TTTCCAGCTTCTGTCCAGCAAATACTTATCTACCTTTGTTGTCTAGTCAACAATGTATGACTCTTACCAGTATTTCTGCCAGTTCTTCTTCTTCACACTCATTTGGTTCTTTCCCAAGTATCTCTTGTGTTGGCTACAAAGATGACATATATGTTATTCTCACTGTTGACTCTAATCCCTGTGAAGGCTACATGGCATTAGGAAATTCAGTTGTGAGCAGCTTTTAACTTCCAAATCCATTTTCTTTTCTGAGCCTTGCTTCCATTACTGTCTTTAAAGGGCAATTCTCCATTATAAAACAGCTCCAAAAGTGGCATTGATGCCTATACTTACTGTCTCTTTTTATCACCTCCACATGTAATTTTGCATAGTTTGCAAATGGAAAGATTGTGAGTCTTCCACACTCACCCTGACCAAGCTGGGTTCTCTCTCCCATGTGTCATCCCAAGCCACAGGGGTTTGGCAGGATAAACTAAAACTTATAACCACCCCATTGTCATTAGATTATTTTCTTGGTAATATCTCTGTAAACCCTTCTGTTACTAATGGGCTGCAGCAGTGTTTTAAGGGCTGTATTAGCCCTGAAGGGATCTTTTTGATGATGCACAGAATGGAAAGAACCCAGTTTAACACTCCAAACCTAGGATGAATCTCTAGATAGTCTAACACTGAAATGCAAGTGACTAACATTACGCATTAACAACGTTTTGGTTTACTTTCTCACCTTTCTACACCCTTGACAGCTGCCTTCCCTCCTTGGAGCTGTTTGCAACATAGTGTCAAAGGGAAAACTATGTGCAGGCAATAACTGCTACACAGCAAGACCCTTCTCTCTGTGCAGAAGTCCTGAAAGCTCTCAGGGAAAAGTCACTGGAGTTTGCCCCCTCTTGAAAGCCATGCACCTCAAGGCAGAAGGGAATATGGGCCCATTCCAAGGAAGACTGTTAAGTTACTTTAGAATGCAAGCTCAGATTTGGTGGGTGCTTTAGAATGCATGTGGTAAAATAAAACACGCCTGGGATGAAAAGAGCTATGTGGAGCAGTTTTTGAGGATGGGATATACTGTTAGACTGGGATAAGTTTAGACTTCAACAGTAAACCATTAAGCTTAGCTTCAATACCAAGATTTCCTGAATTTCATCCTTGCTGCATTTCACATGGTAGAGCACCATGTCTTGAGCAATGTCTTTTCGGTTCTCTAGCTTGTTCATCTTGTCATATGTGTCAGTGTTAAGCACAGACCAGCCCAGGAACTGCGTCAAGGACTTAAAAAGGAGAGAAAAAAGGAAACAATGAAGTAGCTGAACTCTTCCTTCCCTCCCACTGCCCTCAAAAGCATAAAGATATCTCCAGAGATGTAACATGATGGCTAAACTCCCTGGGTGACAGTGACACACAGGCGTGGCAGTGCACCCAGTAGCTGGTCCAGAAATGCAGACTCTTCTATTTTTGTATTGCTGACCCCCATTCTCTGCACCAGGGGCTCTGCCTCTCCCCACCACCATTGTTATGCTATTGGACATCTCAATTACTGCTACTGCCATATTTCTAGGCAACAGTTAGATACTAATGTAATGGCACTATGGGATCTGATCCCACATGCACATGGTAGAACATTAAGTTTTTGGGATCAGGGATAAAATTTGTCAAATCCCAGTCACACAAATGCTGGCACAGTGCTTCACCTTGTTGGAATGGGTAGAACTCGGATGGTGATCCTGACAAGTTGAAAGCCATTCATGGTGCATCCCACTGGCATCCCCAAGCAGCACCTCTAAACCCATATGCCAGGAAGCCCAGACATTAAATGTAGAACATCTTTGTAGCGGTTTTGCCATTTTATGGCAAAATAAATTGGTTGAACTTGTGGTATTTTACCATTTATTGCATGATTAACATGTTAACTGTGTGATAAAAGTAGCATCTTCCAGGGGCTAAGGAGAACATACTTGAGAACCATAACATTTCTCTTATTTATATGTTACAAAAACCTGTAATGGTGAGTGTAAAAACAAGATCTGTCCTCAGTGTGCTTCCAACCTTTTCAAATGAACTGGGTATGCAGGGTCAACAAAGTTGCAATAGTCACAGAAAGTTATGAAATTCTATACCACCCTCCCCAAGTACCAGAGGGTCCTCTTCATCCTTATTGGTTTTTTTGTGATTCAATCTTGAAGTTTAGCTGATAATGGATTACAAAAGTAGATGTATTAATCAGTTTTCAGGAACTTGAGGAGGGTGGAATAGAAACTCACTTAAGTGCCTAAATTGACTTTAAATGCCCCATAAGCGGAATAGAATCTGGTCCCTACCTCCTCTCCAGCAGTCCTTATTCTAGTAAAAGTAATTTTATTTTTAGCATTTGGAGCCAATGAGTCTTTAATGTTCTCTGATATTTCTTAGCGCCAATGCTTTAGGTCAGTGGTGTTCAACCTGTAGGCTTTCCACTGTTGTAGGAAGGTTCAGTTGCTGACTTCAGCAGTTTTATTTTCGCTAGGTCTGAATTTAGGCCATTTTATGAATCATACTTGAAGTATCCTCCAACCCCCTACAACTTCATTCTTACTCTTTTACTCTCACTCACATAGTGGAAATGGCACCTGACTGTTTGCTGCTGGACAGAAGAATGCCAGAATTAGATGCTATAAACACCTCATGCCTAATAGCCGGGCATGAAACACATATTCTTACAATAGTGTCAATGTATTCTGGAATGTCTGTCCAATTGTATTTTCTGAAAATTGTTTCTGTTACTGGGATGGGTTAGATAGTAAGGTTCCAAATGACTTCACTAAAATGTTTGAGTGTACAGGAGCTAGATGGTGGTGCCAATGTTTTTAGAAGCAAAATAGACTATTAGGGCATCTTTATACATGCTCCAGAGGTGGGGGAGGGGAGGGTGGCACTTTAATTAGAGAGGCTCCAACACCGTCCCACGCTTCAAAATGGTGGCAGGGGCACTTTACCTAAAGCTTATTTGAGGAGCTCATTCTGAAATGCAGGGATGCTAATTAGCCCATGTTAGAGCAGACATCTGGCATGTGTATAGGTGCCCTTAAAGCCGAGATTACCTAGATCCACTTGGACCTAAGAAAATGATTCTTTGAATTTTCACATCTAACTAACACATACCTACAAAATACTACACAGTTGCAAAATGTCATAGGCCACACATGCTACTGTGCATGCTTTCAACAATAGTTAATTGTCATTTAGGCAATGACCATTGGGCATAAATTGCTTTCAATGTCAGAGAATAATTATACCTCCATGAGAGTTTCATCTTGTTCATCAAATGGCTTCCCATCTTTTCTGTTGTAAAATGTGACAACACCAACAATTTCTTCTTTTTTGTTAACTATTGGCATGGATAGAACATTTTTGATAGTCCATCCCGATTCATCTAGAGGACCTTCCTTGAAGCAACAGCAAGCAGAAAAATGTTGAACACACAAATTGTATTTTTAATGCATAAAATCTTTTTTTTTATTTTAAAGCAGATTCACTATTGCTACAAATTAAAGGGCATTGCATGTATAATACTGAATTTCAATTATATGTTTGGAAGCACTGAGGAATTCTTAATAAGTATGAGAGCTTTTACAGTACCTGAAATTTAAACATTTCATCTGCAGCAGCATTCATAATGTTGCAGATCTAGAAGATGACAAAAACATTTTCAAACTTGAGTTAAAACAATTAACCTGTTCTGCTTGGTGGTTTAGTTCAAGCAGTTAAAGCTTCAATTCTACAAAGCAAGCATTAACTCAGCTTCACTTCTGAAACTGTTTATGTAATTTGAGTTAAATACTTACATAACCACTTTCAGCTACATATGTTGGGAGTCCAGTAACAAGAGCCCAGTGATCTGCTGTGGGATTTCTGCATGAAACAAAAAGGTGGAAGGAAGATTCTGAATGTACATTTATGTATAGGTTGCAGAAATTTTTGTGGAGGTGAAATGTATCTAACTAATCATGCAGCAGACACTGGCACGGCTAATTTTTAGACATGCAGTTAGTTCTGTTGTTTTCCAAGGCTTTCTTTATGTGAGCAAGGACTGACTCACGCAACCAAAAGCTTACCAGATTAGCCTTTCACTACCAACAAACATGGCAATAAATGAACTAGAAGATTCAAACCAAGGATTCCATAGAATATTGCAATTTCTAATTATTCTGTTTTATGTAAAAAAGCATAATGACATAAGACACTGGACTGGGAATGTGGCTGGTGTCTCTCAACTTAAGTATACACAGATAAAAGAGTGAGAAGGCAAACATGATAGGCCTAAGTCTGCATGCCTTGCTCGAGCTAGGCTTTGCATGCTGCTTTACAAAACATGGTCATAAATGGGATAAAAATGGATTAAATAAATGGATTAAAAGAGCCCTAGTGATAGGTGGGCACATCTACACGAGATGTTTACTGTGCAGTTGCCTAATTAACTGGGCAGTAAACATCTCAGCGTCTACATACGTGTCCCTATTAGGGTGCACAAAACTAATAAACTCTGCAACAGGGTAATACTTGTAAATACAAGTATTTACAAGTATTTACAAGTATTACTCTGCTGCAAAGTTCTTTTGTGTGCAGCAGCGTACATAGAGACAGCTACGGAGGGGCTGGCTGGGACACAAGGGTGCTTCAGTGAGGGGGTTGCCTGCTGGCTATCCCTGTACTGAAGCCCCCTTGTGCCCCAGCCAGCCCCTCCACAGCACACTGAACCCAGTTGGAGCATCCCTGGGCTGGCAGGCTGACCCCCAGAGCCTCTGCCAGCTGCTGCAACCTGGCTCAATGTGCTGCCATACAGGCACATGTGTAAACTACGTGCTCAGGAGCTTCCCCAGAGCAATAAACTGCAGAGCAATAAGCTCTGCAGTTTATTGCTGTGCATTAATGACATGTGTAGATGCTCCCTGTGAGGATCTTTTTGTGTCAGATGCTGTGCAAGAACAGGACAAAAAGATGGACCATGTCCCAAAGTGCTTCTAATCTAAATACTGACACATGCTCAGCCCTGCTATTCAGTGGACACTTGTTCTGTCAAGTAAAAATTGGTTAGAATACAGAAGTGATAGAAATAGCCATAGGTACAGCGTACCAAAGTTTAATCTACTCACGGGATAACTTTGATGTCTTCCTTTCCATGTAAGATATAATCAATGACCTTGTAAAATATTATTTCCTATAAATGAAAAAAATAGTGGTTAAAGTTCCTGAAGAGAGAATAAACGATCAGTGGGGAGTGGGTTTCTAGTCAACTACTTACTCTGCCATCAGGAGTCCGGGGTCCTGTATAAGCTGGAACTTCACCTAATAGAACTGGCCACAAATCGAAAAATTCCTGTTTATTAAAAAATAACAATTTTAGTGCAGGAAAAAGAGTGTTCCCTGCATCAGACCACCAAATACCCAATGATTTTCCATTGGTCTTCCACCTCTTCGGTGCTCTTTAAGTTAAATGTAAACTATGTTACAAAAACATTCTCCTTGCCCAGCCAGTTCCAGTCCCTGCTCTCTTGGATCCCTACCCCTTCACTAGAACCCAGTACAAGTTTCTCTTCTTTCTCTCTCCCCATGTTCTTAGCATGCCTTTTGCATTTTGTTTTTTTGGCTTCGTGCAAACAGGACTAATAATCCTGTTGCTTTCCTAGTTGGTAACCTAACTAGGTGAGCAGGGCATCAGCTCAGATGCCAATTTAAAAGGGGCACCAGAATGGCAGCCTCTGGGGAGCCCGTGCTGCAACAGCAGCAGTCTGCACTGCCAAGCACCTGCAGCAGCCCCTGTGCAAAGAGGTAAGCACTTGGAAGGCTCCCTTCTGCCCCCTCTAGCCCAGGGCACCAAATTCCCTAGTTATACCTCTATGCGGAACTGATTTGTATCACTACTACTAAGGCAAAGCTTAGTCCCAGAGATTGCCCCACCTCTGTTTAGCAGCAGCCCAGAGAAACCGACTGTATTAATATAACATGTGAATGCTTACCTTCTTTTTGGTCATATCCAGGAGGCCCACAGAGTATCTGTCACAGTTCAAATAGGCTCTCACTGTGTAAAAGGCTTTGTGGAACTGTCTCTCAATATCTGTCAGTTCCTCAAACACCTTGTTAGCTGACCACAACAGCACCTACAGAATAAAAATGAAACCTGAAGATAGTGTTCCCTGGGAAACTCACTGTACTTGGAAAAATAAGTAAATAATACTCTGATATCACCAACTTCGAAATAAAAGAGTATACTTGTCCAAAGAGCCTGAAAACGTTGCTGACTTAAGCTCTATTACCAGGGCAGAATATTTTACTGACCTCATTAGGAGCAGAGCCAGACCAGCTCTAAGTACTTTGTAAAATCCCTCCTTACACTGCATAATGCAATAGTTCTATAATCTTAAACACAGAAGTTACCTGGTTAAAATTAAGCTGAGGAGAGCAAGCATCTGTTCTGTAAGTAACTTGCAGTGACATATCTCATGAAAAAAATGTTAAAAGAACATCAGGGTACCTGGTGACCATCTATAAACTCACTAGGGGGGACCAGAAGGGTTTGGGGGAGCCCATGTTTCCCCTAGCACCCACCGGGATAACAAGGAATAACGGACACAAGTTGTTGGAGAGTAGGTTTAGATCAGATATCTGTCAGAACTACTTCACAGTCAGGGTGGCTAGGATCTGGAAACGACTTCCAAGGGAAGTGGTGCTGGCTCCTACCCTGGGGGTCTTTAAGAAGAGGCTTGATGCCTACCTGTCTGGGGTCATTTGAGCCCAGTTTTCCTCCTGCCCAGGCAGGGGGTCGGACTTGAAGATCTGCAAGGTCCCTTCCAACCCTACTTCTATGATTCTATGATCAGGAAGATTTTAACCCCAGAATAACTGAGTGCTGGTAGTCCTGTAGTTAGGGCACTTGTCTGGAATACAAGAGAATGAGGTTCAAATCCTCTCTCTGAATGGGACATAGCAGGGGCTTGAACTTTGGCCCTAGATGAGGATGGATTCATTGCTTTCTGCTCTTGAGTGGAAGCTCTACCTTTGTCGAAGCTAGTTCATACTTTCCTGCAAAAAAGTGTGGTTTCATTGAACCACGGCATTCCAACAAGAAGACACTTTGAGGAAAAATGCTCCAGCAGTTCTAGTCAGCTGTCTATCTTACATTAATGAAGGGAATGAGGGATCAGCATCTAAAACACACCAGTACAGCCAAGATTAAGGTACTTAACTTGAAGCACACAAGTTGTCCTTCTGGCATTAGGGGTGTGTCTACACTTCACTCTCCCACTAGCCTGGCTCTTGGAAGCGGTGTAGTCACAGCTGTGCAGAGGCTGCAACTCCAAAGCATGTAGGCAGAAGTATAAAAGAGATCTCCTGTGTCCCGACTCTTACTATGGCAGGGAACTCGTTGCATAATCCCTTACGTAAACCTATTGAGTTCTGTGTTAGAAGTGAGGGGTGCATATATATGAGACATTTATTGTGCAGTTGACTAATCAGCTGTACAGTAAAGATCACATGCATACACGTGCTCCCCTACTAGGCCAGAGTAGATTCATTTACTCCACAGCAGGATAGTTCCTGTAAATACAAGTACTATCCTGCTGCTGAGTGAAACCTCCTTAGCAGCGCACATGTAGATGCTGCCCTGGCTGACTGGAACACGAGAGTGCTTCAGTGCAGGGGCTGCCTGCTAGCTGGCCCTGTGCTGAAGCACCCTTATGCCCCAGCTAGCCCCTCCACAGCATGTTGAGCCAGGAGGAGCAGACCTGGGGTGGCAGGCTGACCCCCTGGGCCCTCCGCCAACTGGGGCTGCTGCCACCCAGCTCAATGTGCTGCACTCCTGGGTGCATGTGCTGATGCGGCACCTGGGAGCAATAAACTCCAGCGCAATAAGCTCTGGAATTCATTCATGCACCCTAACAGTGTGTGTAGATGCCTTTGGGTAGGGTTTTTTGGTCCCATTTCTATTGGTAGGCTGCCCCAAGAGGCATTTCATGCTTGACTGCTAAACCACCAGACCAAACCCAACAAAACAAACACGGCTGAACTCTGCTCCGGCAATTTTGGTCTCCATGTCTCAAAAAGGCTGTAATGGATTTAAAAAAGAAATACAAAAGGACAAGAAAGATTATCAGGAGTATGGAGCAGCTTTTATACCAGAAAAGACTGAAAAGTCTGGAACTCTCCAGACTGGAAAGGAAGAGGCAGAGAGGGCACGTGACAGAGGTCTATAAGATCATGAAAGATGTGGCCAAAATGAACTGGGAACAGTTATTCACCAAGTACCAGAATACTAGAAGTGGAAGGCATATGTCACAGATACATGTCACTAAAGTAGACTGGCTAAGAATCTAAACTGCAAACCTGTGGGAGATGCAGCCCTGAAATGGGAAGAGGAAGCAATTATTGGACTTTGTCCTGTTTTCTTACCTGGCCTCTTCGTGTCTCACAATTGTGAAGGTAACTCAAATGATAAATTTTCAGGTTTAGGGAGGCAAAATTCAGATACTTCAGGAAAAGCTGCAAAAGTAAACCATAAGCATTGTGTTAAACATGTCTATGGCCATGTGTGTGTGAGAGATTTTTTTCTAGCACCCCAGGCAGCTACAATCCAGTATACAACTAGTGTAAATACTGTATTTGCTCACATCCCACACCAATCTTTTCCCAAAAAATCAGCCCCCAAAATTGGGGTGTGTGTTTTAAGTAGAGAAACTAATTTTTGCCCTGAATAGAAGTATTTTTTGAATCTTGATCCACAGTGCAGCAGCAGTGGCATCACAGGTAGCTGAGGGAGTGAATTAATTTAATGGCTCATTGTTATTCACTCCACAGGTGTTAAGAGTTGTCTCTCCCTTTTAATGATGTTGATGTTCCACTAATCAAGCTAACCTTTCTTAAGGCAATCTTGCTGTCTGCTAGCTGCTTCTGGTCTCTCTTCTATTTTCACAGCCCTGGAGTTTCTTTAGCTCTTTTCAAAATCACAGATCCACCAATGGAGACTAGTCTTCAGCAGCAGTGAGGGTTTCAGATTTTAGTTAAGCAGGAAAGGGAGAGAGAGTCACGTAAAGATTAGGCTCTGTCCCTGTTCTACACAACCATAACTCTGGAAAAATCTTTTTCTTTATTCTGCCTTTCAAAAAGTTGGTGTGTATTTTATTCCAGGGAATGTTGTATGCAACAAAATATGATATGTTGCCTTCCACTGGGGTAAGATGAGGCTGATGCCACTGTGACTTGCCTTGAAGTTTGACTCAGATAAGCCTGTTTTGCAACAGGGCAATGTTTCCTAGTGGGCAAATGGCACTAACGTGCGTACACAAGTGCAAATATCCCCAGTGTAGAGAAGTCTACAGTATGTAGTTAGAGGCAAGTGCATTACAGAAACTGACCACACTTAGTCTTTTTACACTTACTGCTTCATCAGCATCAGAGAAGTTTGTGTCATCTGTTTTATTGACAGCCATGATCACAGCAACTACATCTTTGCCGTTCATGATGGGTGTTGCAAGGATGCACTTTGTAGTAAATTCTGTGAGTTCATCAACAAATGTACTGAATTGCGCACACTGTTCAAAAAAGAATTTCCAAATGAAGCATCATTCAAATTGTTAGCAAGCAAGAAAACGAGGCAAGAAAAACTGCTGACCACATACTTTTGGATGGGCTAAGGGAATAACATTGGTCTATGAAGAAAGCAAAACATGGTGAAACATGGAATCATCTGGAATGCACTAATATGCATTTCCCTCCACTTCTTTCTGTTGTTTCTAATGATCTCACCAGTGAGAGAGAGATTCCTGACATATGACAAAGGTAAAGGCTGCTGGAACCTGTAACACCTTTCCAAGAATATCCTTCTAAGATGCAATCACTGTAAGGTCCTTTGACTTCAATATTCTCTTCTCTGTCGTGCACTACAACTCCCATGGAGTTCCCCGTGAGTTAGACTGACTTTGGGATATGTTCCTGAGGCAGGCCCTCTGCATCCTTGTGTGGGAAACTTTGGACTTAGGGTTTAGGAACAGAGGGGATTTGAGGTACTATGCTCTTATCACTGAAAGCTGAGGTGCATGGGTGGGGGATGAACTGAACTATGTTTCTCTCTACAGTGTACTAGCTGGAAAAACTGAACTTATGTAGAAGGGGAAATAATCTGTCACTGTTCTAAGGCAGGCTTGAATTAGTACCTCTGGGAACCAGGAAGAGGAATTGTGGTTTTGGTCCTGGGACTAAACTGTATCACTGTGGGGCAAGACTATGTATGCCAAGAAAAGACTTGTGTTTGTACAGACAGCCAGGGATCTCTAGAGCTCTTTGCCAACCTCTACCAATGACACATCTGCTCCCTCTCTTGTTGGTTAGTAGGGTTGCTAGGAAAGGGTAACATTGAGCTGGTGAGGGACCACCCAGGGTTTCTACTACACTAGGGGTATCTTCTTTTGCCCTTCCAGGACAGCTGTGCGTTCCCTGTGCTTGACTGCTGGAGCAACCAAAGGATCCTGGGCATTTGAAGTAAAAGAGAGAGGCCTGGTAATACCCTTTGAGGATGCTATTGCTTCCTAGATCCTAAGTAAAACTAGACAGAGAAGAGAAAGGATTCAAAAGAGCTGCTTGAGAGCATATCATCTAAATAATCCCCTCCTGGTCTCACCTTTTCTACTGCATACTCAGATGACCTTTCTGCCTTTTGGAAACTGCCATACCCTTTGGCTGACCTAAAATCCCCCTTTCCCTGATAGGTGAGCCCATAAACTGCAATGCAGTGTACCTGAGACCAAAAACAGGAGCTGTCAAGCTCTGACTAGTTCAATATGCTGCATCCAAACCAGTTGTGATTCACAAATGTACTACTGCAGCACATCAAGCTCACCACTGACTTTCTATGCGACACTACATCAAATGAGATATGGGAACCTGGATCTTTCAAGTTCTCAATGATACTTAGTGACCAGAAGGGCTCTTCTTCACCATCTGTGACCAGGACCTATCATGAATACTTACTGCTTGCAAGGAATGACCCCAGATAACAGTAACAACTGGAAAAGCTAGAACCAGGAGCTTTCTTCATATCAGGATCACTACTCTGAAACTTATTTGCTAGACTGTGAGTGATGACAAAATGTGACTCGCAAAATATAACCTGCTTCTGATGAAGCTTTTGCACAATAATGATTACAAAACAAAACCAACATTTAACATGGACCCTGTAAAGTAGGGAAATTTTGTTTAGGCACCTGGTTACTGCGGTGCTGAGGATAGGACGAACGAATAGACAGATGGTCTCACTTTTTTCAAGAGAACTATAGATGAAATAATCCCAGATATCATATTTGGGTCACATGGATTTTAGATTTATAACTCAGATTAGAGCAAGCGGATTGTAATTGCTGTAGTTTAGATTTAGTAGGGGTGATTCAACTAGCGTGCACAGTTGCTGAATACATTCAGGACTATAAAAGGCTATACAATTAAAACTCCTTGGTAACAGAAGTTTCTATTCAACAATACAGTGCATAATTTTTGTGGTGAATATATGGACATGGTTCATATTTCTGATTTAGATGGAGGTGTGTGGATATGCAAAGGAAACTGTCAAACTATCTATATATGTTTACACTCACACACCACGGGTACCTTTTCTTTTTGACTCATGAAAATACCTTTGAATGGGACTGCTTCTGCTTGCTCCAGTTGCAGAAATAGAAAACCATCCCCTGGTAGAAGATTATTTCTGCGCTTTTTTTAATATATGGGCTTCTGGTTTCTCTGCCAATTAGTCCATGTATATTGAGGCAGGATTGAATGCAGCACCTGCTCTTTTTTGTTATGCCAGACTACTACATAAGGAGAAGTAACCTTTTCTTTTTTCTGTTTTGATGCAGAATAAACTGAACTACAAAACATTGTTTTAACAGTCTGGCATAATTAATACACATCTTCAGTGTATATTAGTGAAATATTTCAATGCAATAGTATAAATAGGTTCTTGGTATTTTAACTAAGAATGACAAACATTTCTTTGGTTTCCGCCATAAAGTCATTAGAGTAAATGAGAGTTGTACGGTTTACACCTGTTTATCATTTTCCTCAACTCTACAAACATTCATAGAATCTTCCTTTAACTGAGCAAACCAATGGAAAACCTACCTCATGCATATTCTTGAGGTTCACTGTTTTCTTGGTTTGAGCCACATGCCCCACCACACCTATGTCCAAAGGATAGACAATTTCACAGTCTGGAGTCACGAAGCATTCCTCCAGTGTGCTTCCTTCTTGTACATTAAAAAGCCTGGTAGCCAACTCTGCTATGCCATTTCTCTGCCTGTACATAAAAAGACTGCAGCGGTCTGCATGGATGAGAGAGCTGATTCTTCTCAGGGTCTTGAAAACCACCTTCTCCATGTTGATGCTTTCCTGCATGTCTTGGATTAATTCAAACAGGATATCACTTTCATTTTCACTTGTTTTCATGTTTTTATCAAAGTACTGCTGGGCAAAACTAGGGTTACTATCAAGAAACTTCTCCACCTCATCCTCGCTCAGACTCATGGTGGATGTCCCTCTTAGGTCCCGTGCTATGTGATATCCCAGGAATGGTGTCTGTCCAAGGATTGTTCTTCCGTTGATACGGTCCCTAAAGATTCATACTATGCAATCTGGTGCTCTAAAGCGCTGCTTCTGGGATGGCCAGGAGTGAGCCAACGGTGAGCAGAGTGATTGTCATCAAGAGAGTATTCCTTAAGAGCGTTGAAGGTGAGTCCGTGGGAGGACAGGTTTTCTCAAGCAAACAGATTAGATAACTTGCGCTAAAGCTGCAAGTCCATTTTCTCCTCCCTTATCTTGATGGGGTAACAAAAGTGAAGTCCTAGGATATTTAGATCCCCTGTGCTTTTTCTTGACAGTCAGTGAAGATGTATCCTTCTGGCTGAAAAGATGATATTGAGCACCAGAAACAGAACTCCCCCCGCTCCAAACATTGAAATAAGCTCTTTAAAGTCTAATTAAATATATACTGCTTATGTCTAATCCCTTGCTAGCAAGGTGAGTATCTTATTATTCCTGCTCTCAGATCATCTGAGAAACATGCTTCAATGAATGTTACATGTGTCCATCTATTTAGCTTAAATAAAAGGATTGTTACAACAAGTCAATACCCTTTGTTAACTGTCTACTGTAAGTTTATCTACTGAAGTGGTTATTGACAGATGAGCCTAAAGAGGACTGGTGGTTTGGTTCACATGTAATAAGTACCCAAGGGATCTGGATTAGTTCCCAACTGCATGAACCAGTTGGTACTAAAAGTAAATGGCAAATCTGGTCCACTCTACCTAAGAAATATATCATGGGCCAGTTCCTACTACATTTTTTGATATCTAAGTAAAACTAAGATGCCTACTGATGAGATCCTATTCCAGCTATTAGGCATCAAAGTTATACTTAGACATCTAAGGACTTTAATCCACCTTATTTGAGTCCCTGAAACCCCATTAGCACAAAAAGTGGGTGGGTCCTCCTCACTATTTTTTGTCTTACAGCTAACATGAATGTGCCTTACATGAGTAGGCAACTTAGTGATTTTCAGATACTTGAGCTGGGTGGAAGAGACACTGAAGTGCCAGGATGCATAGGGTCTGACTCAGTGTCTTGCTGGAGGTGGAAGCAGATATGACTCCGAGAACAGACTTTCTTCTTGGGCAGTGGGTAGCGGGCAGCGGAGTCCCCCAGGGCTCCGTCCTTGGTCCCGCACTGTTCAATTTCTTTATCAGCGATTTGGACGACGGGATGAAAAGCAACCTGTTTAAATTTGCTGATGATACCAAAATTTGGGGTGAGGTGGGCACACTAGTAGGGAGGGAAAGACTGCAGCAAGACCTGGATAGGTTGCAGGGGTGGGCTAACAAAAACAGGATGCGTTTCAATACTGACAAGTGCAGGGGGCTGCACTTGGGCAGTAGTAACCAGCAGCACACTTATAAGATGGGAAACTCCCTTCTTGAGAGCATGGATGCAGAAAAGGATCTTGGAGTCATCATTGACTCCAAGCTGAACATGGGCCGACAATGCGAGGTCACAGTCAACAGGGCTAACCGGACCTTATTGTGCATCCACAGGTGCATCTCAAGTAGGGCCAAGGAGGTGATCCTCCCCCTCTATGCAACACTGGTCAGGTCACAGCTGGAGTACTGTGTCCAGTTCTGGGCACCCCACTTCAAGAGGGATGTGGACAACATCGAGAGGGTCCAGAGAAGGGCCACCCGCATGATCCGGGGACAGCAGGGCAGACCCTACAGTGAGAGGCTATGGGACCTGAACCTGTTCAGCCTTCACAAGAGAAGGCTGAGGGGGGACCTGGTGACTGTCTATAAACTCACTAGGGGGGACCAGAAGGGTTTGGGGGAGACCTTGTTTCCCCTAGCGCCTCCCGGGATAACAAGGAATAACGGCCACAAGTTGTTGGAGAGTAGGTTTAGATTAGACATCCAGAAGAACTACTTCACAGTTAGGGAGGCTAGGATCTGGAACCAACTTCCAAGGGAAGTGGTGCTGGCTCCTACCCTGGGGGTCTTTAAGAAGAGGCTTGATGCCTACCTGGCTGGGGTCATTTGAGCCCAGTTTTCCTCTTGCCCAGGCAGGGGGTCGGACCTGAAGATCTACAAGGTCCCTTCTGACCCTACTTCTATGATTGTATGATTCTTGTGCTAGGGGACTTCCATGTCTTCTCCTGCTCACAGGCAGCTGCTGTTGAAATGGACATGCACAAATTCCAGCATAGGTTTGGTTTGGATTGGATATGGATTGTGCTGGATAATTAATTTTAAATGCTTTGTTGGTTCCTAACTACTACTCTGTCCAAGCAAAGCAAGCATCTCTGTAGATGTGTTATGGACACTGTAGACAAGATTTCTAGGTTTCAGGTGTGTCTTCATGGCTGTTTGCAGGAAAAATCACAAGGGTCTGAGACTGTGATGAGGCCTATTCATTCTCTTGTTTCAATGATCAGAAGAATTAAAAGTTACTCCACACTGGCTGCACATACAGAAAGGGTCTACAGCTCCTTATTACCATTCTGAGATGCTGTGGATGAAGAAAGAGTATGCATTTTAAGTTCATGTGGAAACTATAGGTTTGAATCAGGCAATGTGCTGTACAAACACTATGACTGTGCTGTTTAGTTCTCTGCAGATTCTTGGATTAATTTACAAGGGAGGGCACCTCCATGGTCTTCAAATACTTTCCAACAGCATGAAGTGACAAGACTAATGGCAGCCCTGCCCTGTGTGCTTCATTTCATCTCATGCCTTCCCCAAGGGGAGAATTGTGTCTGCAGTCCAGTGTCCCTTGTGGGGATATGGTGTAAGAGGGAGTGGGGGGGTCACAGGTAGGTCCCACAGCATTTTTATGTTGGAGAAAGCAGTCTGAGCACCTCCAACATGGAGCAGACAGCAATGAGGACTGTGGTAGTCTTAAGTTTATGTTGGGCTGAGCCTTGAGAAAACACCATTTAGGTTTAGGTTAGAGATCAGAAGGCAATATTTTACAGTTAGGGTGGCCAACATCTGGAACCAACTTCCCAGGGAAGTGGTCCTCGCCCCTACCTTGGGCAAATTCAAGAGGAGGTTGGACAATCACCTGTCTGGGGTCTTGTGAACCCAGCATTCATTCCTGCCTGTGGCAGGAGGTCAGGCTAGATGATCTGTTCAGGTCCCTCCTGACCCTAGCTACTATGAAACTATGAAACCATCTCCTGCACCTTTTGCTTAAACCAGAAGGTTTTGTTGTACCAGAGGAGCAGAATTATCTACCTCAGTCTTCAGCCCAGAGCTGATAACAACTTTTTCATTATGCTGGCCCCAAGCTACTGAGCATTGGGATGGCACCACCAAGCTACTGAGCATCGACTCAGTTTGAGGGGAAGCCAGTGTAAAAAGGATCTCCCTTTTACACTGTAGTGTAGTAGCCATCATCACTGGCTACTACAGGTAGAACGTACCTGTAGTAGCCAGTGATGATGAGATGTAGTGCAGTGTACTGTACCAACTGGGCAGGCACACAAGTGGCAGAGCTTGAGCCCCAGAAGTGCTTGGATGGCACTGGTGGTGGTGTCCAGGTACACGTGATCAGCATCCCTGCCAGGGTCCATGTGGCAACACGGGGCCCAGGCGGCAGCAGCATGGTGCCACGGGGCTGGAGATGCTAGGCCAGGAGGCTGCACTGCATAGGGGGGCTACCAGGGCTAAGACTGACCTGGGCCAGGTAGCAATTGTTGCAGCGGCAAAACAGGGCAACCAGGGTGTCCATCCAGAGCCCAGGGCACTGAACGTTGCTCCTGGGGGTGGAGCAGCCATGGCATGGTGGGCAGAGGTTCCTTAACAGAACTGCAGTGTGCTGGCATAGTGCTCTGCAGGCTGCTCTGGGCTGGGAAGGCAGGTGACCACGGAGCAGGGCTGCCTTTTCAAGTTGGCTGCTGGCTGCAGGCAGCTGCAGCCACAAGCTCCCGCTCCCCCTGACTGCTGCAGGGGGTGGGTACATGGCCAGAGAGGGTGGGAGCAGACTGCTGCCAGGAGCAGCAAATGTGCTTCCAAATCCCCACATGTGTAGATGCCTGCCCAGGGTAGGTTTACTCCAGAGTTTTGCAATATATTTATTTCTCCATTAATTGATTCTGCCCTCCACCCAGGCCAAGCTGGATTCTGCTGTGGCCAGAGCACTTGCAATCAAGTTCTAGCCTTAACCACCTTAATTGAAAATGGCTTTCAGAAAAGCCTGTAAACTAGTGTTACATTCCTTAATTTAACAGCAGCATACGATACTGTCTGGCATACCAGTCTTCTGGTGAAAATATCAGGAATTCTGCCACATCGGTTGGCCAGGTGTTGACCACGTAGTAATAGTTTGACTAGATGAGCGGCCCAAACTAGCTCTTGGAGACTTCAAACCAATGGCCTCCCTCAGGGGCCAGTACTGGCACCTCTTCATTTCAACCTGTACATTAATGACCTGCCTATGACCAGCTCACAAAAATTTGTTTATGCTGATGACATTGCCTTTGCTACCCAAGCCCATGCCTTTTCAAATGTGGAACTAACACTTGACAGTGCCATGAGACTGATGTCAGAGTACTGCCTAAAATGGTGCCTTAAACCAAATACCTCAGACTGTCTCTAGTGTTTTCCATCTGCATAGTGCCAGTGCTAATCGTGATCTCACCATCACCTTAAACGGTCAGCCTCTCAAATTCAAAACCCAGCCAGTTTTATCATCTTGGAGTCAGCCTTGACTGGACTTTAACTTATAAATCACATCTCCAGAAGACCACTTTAAAAAAAAATCAAAACAAGGAATAACCTACTTGCCAAATCTGCAGGCTCCACTCGAGGTCCCAATGCCTTCATGTTATGTTCACCTGCCCTCACACTGTGCTATTCAGTTGCAGAATTTTTGGCGCCTGTATGGGCTCATTCATTGCACAGCAAACCTCCATGCGTAAATACATTAAATTTAGTACCTGCAATATGAGGTACTTAAGAAATGCATGTTAGGCTGCCTTA